AGAGCATCGGACCCGCGCAGCGGGATTTGGATCCACGGTGCATCGCAAAACGGTGCAGGAGCGGTAGCAGAGATGACAATCAGGATGGGCAGGGCCGCATGAAATTACAAAGCGACCCCACCAGCCCTCCCTCGTTTTGATTCAGCTCGCAAAATAGAGTAACCGCCTGTCGAGATCTCCGCTTCAGAGACATGTGGTGTGAGGCAGGTCTCTGTAGGTGCGATTATGGACGGTTGTTCAAGACAAGCTGACTGTTTAATATCGCAGAGTTTATCGAAAAAGCTGAAGCAGTTTATGGACAAGCATTTCAACACTGTCTCTGCTGCCTCCGAGGGTGGGGAGGCGAAAGTTGAGTGACCAGACAGGTAAGCAGACTTAATGGTTGTGCGCCGGTTTGAGTCCAGAGCTCCATAGAGGCCTCTGGGGCAATGTTGTCTGCTTCCTGTCCTTATGGTTTCTGGGGGTGCTTTTCGCTTGCGAAGTTTTTTCGTTCCGTGGGAGCCCGGTTCGCTCGGACTTTTTGCCTTTGGGGGACGGAGTTTTTTTCCCGCGGGCAAAAATTTCGACCGGTGCTGTTTGTAGCTCTTTTCATCGGCCAGGTTTGCTGTCGATCAAGGACCCACTGCAAGCTTTCGCCTTTTTGGATTCTTGGATGTTTTGGCGCGGTTTGACCGGAAAAGTGTCTCTGTGAGGCTCTGCGCGCTGGGTGTTGGCACCAAGAAGTAATGATTTTGGTAGCGCCATCAAGAAGCTCGTTTTCGCGGAGGACCCTTGCTTGAAGCCAGCCAGCAGTTTTCTAATCTGGCGAGTCTTATGTTGCTTGTTTGGCTGAAGTCGCTTTTCTTTCATTTTTGTGTGGATGCCCGATCCGGCGGCGATCAGCGTGGCCATCTGGATGTACGAGAGATTTTCCGGTTGGCTGTAGTCACTTTATGGCTCTGGTTGTCGGGGTCCTGGGCGACGGTTGTCCACAAGCAGAGGCCGCCTTTGACGGAGTGGAGCAGGACATTAGCCTCGCTGCTTGCCCCAGCATATCTGACTCAGTCCAGCTCAGAAGCTGTGGCTTCGGTGAGGAGCACGTGGCTGCACCTGTGTCGTCTGTCACGGAGATAAGCACTGATAGCCCCAAGCACTTTGGGCGCTGTTTGCGTGTGAGGTTTGCTTCCACCTGGGCATCACTGATTTGGTGGGCGAGAGGCCTGTGGTGGTCGAATAAAAACTGCAGTCCGGGGGCACATGATGCTATGACCACAAACGGCTTGGCCATGAGTTTGGGGTCGGCGGAAGCCTGTTTCATGCCTCTACCCCTGATCTGCTGTGACCAAGCCTTCGCGCATCTAGAGGGCGGTCCTCAGATAGCCGCCTGATCATTGGGCTGGCCTTCTGAATGCTTCCGGCCAGCTACAAGATCTTCTGTACGGCAGATGGGGAGGAAACAGTGACTAGTCGCCCAGGATTTTGCTTGCTCTCCTTCTGGCTTGGCCATTCTGCGTGGAGCGATTGGTCTGGCTTGGTGAGGACACTGCTAAGGATCGATTGTGCCAACTTCGCTGGCTTGATTTTTCCGGAGCATGACCACCCGATTATCAATCTGTTCTCCCTTAAGTGCCTGTCCACCAGAGACGCTGCGGTGGTCTGTATAGCTGCGTCAAAGAGTTGTATTACTTTCTTCGCAGCCAGAGGACCCAGTATGGATAGCGCGAGGAACTCGTTCAGCGAAAATTTTCCTTATCAATTTTCGTCCAACTCGCTGCAATTTTTATGTCTGAATCCTCCAGTACCTTAAAAAGACGCTTCAATTTCGCGTCGAGTATCCCGATCAAAGCGGAACACTCACATCGGCCTTTCTGAATCTGTAGTGCGGATTGGGTACCGTTTTTGGGGTTCTCCTCTTGGTTGCGGTATGCATTGCACCCTTAACGTAGAGCCAGCTGCCGCAAACAAACGGGTCAGGAGAGTTAGCTAGTCGGCTTATCTGGTGGTCCTGTACATCCGTGCATGTAAAATGCCACCAGGCCTTTCAGGTGTGGCGGTGCATACCGCGTTTGACGTTCGACGGGCAGCCATTTCGTCCACATCTGCTGTGGTCTGTCAATGGCTGCAGCACGCAATCGGTGTAAATTGATGCCATGTTTAGGACTAGATGTAAAATAGGAAGTGTGCGCAAAATATCAAGGGTTGTCTCTCAAACGTTTTGTCAGAGTAATAAAATTCAACAGTGACTCGTGCATACGCTGTGAATAGATTGATGAATGAAAAAATCCTTCCACAAATTTGCACGAGGGAAAAACGAAACCGATTTCAAACATACCGCGCATTGAACATCATCAGACTGTTTCTGCTGCCACCGAGTTTGAGTCGTCAATGGTTTTGCAAACGATATCCCACGGTCTGCTATACAAAAGCTCTCCAGTAATGATTAACACTGGGTTTTCATGAAACAGAATCAATATTTTGGAGGCTGGAAGTATTTAAAACTCCTTGGTTACGGTGATCGGTGTCTTCATCCATGGAGTTTTCAGGAAAATATCTCTCCATGGATGATTTGCTTCAATGAGCGAACCGTCAATTTCATCAGTCATCAACGGTCTGGCATACGGCGTCTAATATGGTGACATGTGAATTCGTGCAGGACGTGGATCGCTTACAGTGGGCGAGTATTGCAGTTGTTTCGAGCGTCTGATCTATTCCTCTGGGCTTGTAAAAGCAAAATATACTGGAGTGTTCCTCATGTCGATGATCTTTTCCATGTTCATCCTGCTCAGCCGCGTTAATGCCGAATTCCGCGTTCTGGATCCTCGAAATTTGCCCTTCCGTTTAACATCGCGGGAAACATTATTTTCGTATCACTCGCGCGAGGTTTGAAGAACGTGTGGCTTATATATGGTGATGTCCTATATCCGTGGGCATAGCCTTACGGTAGACCGCAGCAAAGATAATCGCTGTAACTGGCAGAATATGCGAGCGGATCTTTTAATAATGATTGAGCGATGGGGTATAGTCAAGAGATGGAAGGGGGTAGTTGCGGGTGTGCTGCCAAACTGAGTATAGCCGTGCCATGCCATCACTGCACTGATGATAATAATAATAAGGTTTATTCCCAACTTGTGGGTGGCATACCGTCTGGCATGATCATAGTTTTGCAGTCAGAATGGAGCATGACTGGGGGGCTGTGGGGGTGCGGATTGCACAAAATAAGGACAATGTCATAAACAGTGGGGAACACCCGATGATATAGCAATAATAGGTTATTTCCCAACTTGTTGGAAAAAATGGACATGAGGTCCGACTAGATCAAGGACAGTCAGGTGGCACGAGCTAAAACTGAAAACCATTACTGGCCATGAGTGACCTTGGGTGGTTAGGTAAATGGCCGGAGTCACAACGAGCAAAAGTGGAGATGGAGATGGGACAATTCAAATTGGGAGCACATTACAAGTTTTGTTTGAAAAATGTGGTTTAATCTGAAAGTAAGCACACACTGGTTGAACTGTTGTAGGGAAGTCAGGTGCATGGTGATGGGTTGGATGGGGCCAAGTTGCTAATAGATAGGGCTACCTGAACTCCGTATGCGAATTTGAACTTGTGCAACAGGCAAGCCGAAATTGGAGCAGAAAAGCCAGGCTAGCCGAATCTGAGCAAGAATTCATTGGGTACGGAAGAGCTCATCCAAGAGACGCGGCCGGATGAGAACTGCTCGAAGTTGTGGCTACAGGGTTGCAGCGGCGCTGTTAGAAGTCGTTCAACAGAGCGCCTGGACCCAACATGTCGCTGCACCCACCAGATACCGCGCAGGCCAACTACCATCCCTCTTGGATTTGGTCATCACCAACGAAAGACACTTCGTTGATCAGGTAACAATTAACGCTCCACTGGGGCATAGCGACCACTGTGTGCTGACCTTTGATTTCATCTGCTATTGGGCCAGAAATCCCAAACCTCAAAC